GAAAGTTGAAAAAGCAAATTAGGGCCATTGCTCAAGCAGTGTACATTTTAGATTTATAGTAATACAACATAGTTGGTTAACTAATAAAAGAACATGAAATACTGTCTTAAAACACAAAGGATGTGACTTGAGAGAAACAGCTTTACTTTTTGGGAGCTAAGTCACTGTCGTTCTGATAGGCAGACTCGGGTGACATTGCGTCAGTGGCCTCCCTCTCATCTTGGAAGTACTGCAGCCCATCTTGTATGAGATGCCACTGTTGTGATGCAGAGCTGGTGGAGGGAGAAGCGGGAGAGAACAGGAAACAGAGGCAGAAACAAAGCTTGTTTATTTCAAAATTAATTGTAAAGCAGTATTGATCTCAAAGTAGATGCCATTGGATTCTGCTATTTTTAGTGTTTGATCAGTTCCATGATAGGAGTCCTGTGGTTCGAGATTCTTCCCTCATATGTAAGTCTTCTTTTTTTTCCCCCTTTTTTACTGCTTGCCTTGTGTTCACCATCAGCCATTATACTCCAATGGCTAATGGCCTTCGATTTCTGGAAGACTGCATGGAGAAGGATTGAATATCATGATTATTTTAATAGTCAATATTTCATTATTTCACTAGTAGCTTTCATATTTCATGCATGCTCATGAGGAAATCAAAATCTGTTTAAATCATATAGATGTCTGAGTTTTAAGCAAATTAAAGGAAGATTCAGATATAGTGATAATTCATACTACTTGATGAGTAATAAATGTGATATAAGATTAAAATAACTCAGACTTTTAAAAATAACTAATCTCATGCTGTTTTCAAACCTATATATTTTCCAAAAGATATAGTAATGATGTTTTCTTTCAGGGAGGAAGTTTAGAAATAAAGAACAGGTTGTGTTAGCCTTATCATCGCAGTTGGTTTCAGAACCAAAATTACTTTCAGAACTCTTTAAGATTGTGTATAACTGAGCTGTAAACTGAACGGGAAAGGAGAAAATATGAAGGGAGTACCTCTACCTTACAGAGGATCTTTACTTTGAAAAGATCCTTTCTGCTTATAAGCTTTGAGAAGAACAGATATTTAGGATGTGAAGTCTGTGTTGAGGCATCTAAGACATGTGCCATTGACTAATAACTAGATATGTTTTCTTTTCTGCATATGCAGTGGATACAAGTGGGTGCAGAAGTTCACAATATGTGTTCTACCCTCCTTGTCTAAAGAAATATGTTTGTGCCCCAAGGACTGCATGAAATTTGGATCATAGCCTGTTCACATGAAGCTTAGGCGGTTGTTGACAAGCATGCTCTGAGGGCTGTTGTCTCACATGTGAGCTGAAGGGATATATCCACACTGAAGAGTCTGTGCTTCTAAGGGAACAGCAGATCTGGGATGACCATGTTGATTTTGAGACTGTTGTAATAGCATTGAGAAGACATGTTGGATTTATATTTGCAATTCAAATACATTTATTCTAAGAAATTATACAATATCTTGAGTCTAACTTGTAGAAAGGTCTTTTTTTTTAATGAATTAAAGTTTGAGCTTTGTTCTGGTGGTCCTTCTCAAGCTAGGTAGTGTGGCAATCTATCCCATTTTATTGCTGCAGATCGATGACACTTGTTTCCTTTCGGGCAGATGGTGAATTTAAATGGGAGTATGATTTGTAGACATGTGATACTTTGACTAAGAAAAGACTTCTGGATATTTATTTCCTCCAACTTAAGTATTAAAAATCTACTTATCCCCCATGGTTGTGGACATTCTTTTGTCTCAGTCCATGGAATGATTTTTAAAAGTAATAGAGACTATCATAGTGAGGTGTGAAGATACAATGCAGTATGCATCTCTACTTCCAGAGCAAAGATGGGCTTCCAGTGAAACTTTTAAATATATCTTGGTGATAGGATGCTAGACTCTCTGCCATTGTCCATTTATACAGTGTCAAGATACACTTAAATAGCAGAATGATGGACTTAATGACTATGTATGAAGGACTATCCCATTGTAACAATATAGGGGAAGTCAGTAGGTGGGGGGAATTTGGGGAGAGATAGAGTGTAAAAAAGCAATCCCAGAATCTATGAAACTGTATCATAAAATAGTAATCATTTTTTGAAAGAGCCCTTACAATTTTACATATGTGTGTACATATATGTATGTATGTGTATATACTCACACCAGTACATTTATTTGAAAGAGCACCAGAGGAGGCGAAATGAAGGGGAGAGTGGCAGGGGACTGATGGGGCAGATTCTCCACTCCAGTTCACTTCCCAAATAACCACAACAGCCAGGGGGAACCCAGTACTCCATCCTGGTGTTGCAGGATCCCACATCGCTGTGTCATCCCCCGCATCTTCATTAAAGCATTAGCAAATAACTGGACTGGGAGTGGACCAGCTCCAATTCATACCACCAGACATGGGGACGTAGCCCTCTCACGATGGTAGCTCCAGTGAAATCATTTTATTCCCTGATCCAAACTATACTTTTCTCCAGAGCTCCAATAACTTACTCTCTAATTCTGGTTGGAGCACATGCTTTTTTGTTAATTATACTGAGATCCTTCCATTGAGATGTAGACAGTGTTATGTTTTTCAACAATGCTTCGATGCCATGATACATATGCTTTAGACAATCATCATTCTATGCCTACTAGAAACTGACCTATAGTTTGGAAGAGATCGCTATTCCAAATCCGTTCCCTATTGTGCCTTTTTTTTTTTTGTTACCAGGGATTTCATTAAGTGTGCCAGATTGTCCCCAAATTAAACTCTTCACGTTATCTCATTGTCTGGCTAGTGCTTACCTCTCTGATTTTATTTCAAACCATTCTTCTGTTTTACCAACATTTAAGTTTTCGGTTTATGCAGTCACCTTGCATCCACTGGTTCACTCTGCACACTCCCACTACAGCCCAAAATGGGCCAGGTGAATTCAGGAGCCAGAACTCAATCTAGTTTTTCATATGGGTAACCGGAACCCAAGTACTGAGCCCTTACTACTGATGGACTCTAGAGTCGGGCTTAGGAAGCTGGTGTCTGCCACTGGGGCCAAGCACTTACCCATTGAGGGAGAGCCTATGCCATTGCATTAGTTATGGAAGCAAATGCTGGCTGCTGAAGAGGCCTGTCCAGGAGGTTGCAGTGACCTTCAGTCTTAGTTTTTGTTTGTTGGAAAATTTCAGATTCCACTGAAGCCTGCTTGACTTTTACTATAGAAGAGTTTTTCATATAAAAAAGTCATTGTATCCTTTATAAGTCAATCTATTTTTATTTCCTGAGATTGATTCCTCTTATCTCAATGGATTTTTTATAGCACTTACCAATTTGTATGTTCTCTGTTTTTCTCACAAGAAATGCTTCCTGCAAATGGTTATGTTTTGTTCACCAAACTCTCCAGCACCTGCGAGAGGATCTGGTAAATGATAAAGACTCAATAAATAGGTGTGGAATAAATGAACCAATCAGTACATTCTTCATCTCTCTAAATGTGCCAGTGTATTTAGCTGAGAATAAATGCTGTCGGCTTCATTGTCACTGATGCTTTTAGAATAGCAATTTCTTGATAATGTTTTGCTAATTTCCTTGCATGGTTATAGAGATATTAGGGACAGTACATTTGATAATTTGTCCCAATGTCATTTTCAGCAGCAAGGAGAGGGATATTTTAAAAGTCAGATGACAAGGAAAGACAACACTAGACTGGGACTCGAAGGTGGCAATTATTTAGATTTTGATTCTCACAACATTTTAAGTTGCGAATGTGGTTTGTTCTTCGGCAACTTTTTCACTCATACAGGCTGTCAGAATAGATTTGGCCTGCAGATTTAGGAGTCATGCATTAGAATGAGTTCAGTGTGGTGTTCCAGGGCAATGTTTATCTGGGCTGATGAGTTTTACAGGGTCCTTGATATGGCTCTTTTCTATACTGGCTTTACTATTTCATGTGAATCAAAAGGAAATTTTCCATACTTAATTTGCAGGTGTTTTATATGCCAAGAAATTATAGCACTACTGTATTGCCTTCCACCGTTAGAAAGCCGATCATGAAATTCTCTTGCATTATTGATTTTCCTATTTTCTCTTCTGTTTAATGTTAACCATAGAGCATTACTAATGTGTGATTAATGTTAAAATATCTATGTAAAACAAAATTTTTTTCTGTGTATGGTCTTACCCTTTTTTGTTGGCAGGTCGTTTTCATGAACATTCCTTCATGTGACACAAATTGCTAAAAGTGTAGAGAAATGTATATGTTATGTGTCAGTTCATGAAAAAAAAATACTGTACTTAAATAGCTCTGTTTTTCATGGCATATAATGTGTGACTGCTTTGTGGATTATTTAAAGAATCACGTGTACAATTTTCTTTCTCATTCTTGTCTTGGTCTTCCATATTTATTCATTTATGTAATATGTACCATTTGTCAGTAAAACCACTGTGTATTGTAAATGACAGGAATGTTTGTATCTTCTCTTCACCTGAATGTCCACCACAGATCGTATCATAGCGTCTTTCTGAAAATGTTCAGAGACTGAAACATATGAATAAATACAGTCCACAAAAAGTATAACCCTACACTAAGTACACAAAAAGAGAACAAAAACCTTTCTGAAGCATCCTTTTCCATACACTGTGTCTGCAGGAGACAGTTGAGTCCAATAACTAGTATTTTTATCTACATATAGTTATGCTTTCCCATAAACCATATTTACATACTACAAACCTATGAACATATAAATAACATTTATAGTTTTTCAGTTAGCTTACTCTACTTTAAATAATTATGTCTAATTTTCTGATTATTGCTAATATGAGGATGAGGTTAATTAAGATGGTGTTGAACTGGGACATATCACAGCACGGACCGGCAGCTGCCATCACCTGGCTCGCGGGTAGTGCGAGTTGGGGGTCTGGGTTGGCTGGACTCCTGGCTGTGGCTGGCAGTAGAGAGGGGCCGGCCTGAGTGAGCGGGGGTCTCATGGTGCGCCCTGCGGTCGGTCCCCGCAGGTGGCAAGCACAGTGAGCGACATCCAGCCCTTGCTGCTCCCCTGCGACACGCTGACCGTGGCCAAGGAGGCGCTCTCCCGCCCCGGCATCTCCTCCAGCAGCCTGCAGCCGAGCGTACCACTGCTCATCGCGGACAAGGGCCTCGAGGAACCTCCAGAGGAGTTCGTGCCCAAGGAGTGCAGACTGCAGCCCAAGGTGCGGCCAGCGGTGGGGCACAGGGGCTGGGGGTGGCCGGGCAAGGGCCCCAATGTGTCTGCTTCTGTATGTGATAGTCCTGTGTCCACACCCTGTGGCTGAGGTGTCCCCTTGGTGGAGTCCTCGCCAGCTGCTTTGGTAATGCATGCCTGCCCCAAGTTGATGCCTGATTATTATGGTTGAAATGTCAGATTTACAGTTTTTTGACCAGCTCTTAAAATACTTCTGCATGCACAAGGGAACTTCAAACTACATTTATCAGTCTCCCCTTACTGTGAAACTAAAGAGATTGTTAAAGACTTAAAGATATGGTCTTAACAGTTCGTCAATGGAAACTAATAAGGCTTTGATATTATGATTTAACTATCTTGGATAGTAATTATGTGTAATCATCTAAAGTAAAAAAAAAAATGAATGTAAGACTGGTAGTTTTAGAGGCAATTCTCTTAGTTCATGGCAGCCTTGGGAAGTGTCTCCACAGCTCTTGAACAGTGCATGTGTTGAGTGATATATGGCCCTGGAGGCCCCGGAGTCATCAAATATTTAGACAGCACTCAATGCACATTCTCTCCCAATGCATTCTGTTTTATTTTAAATTCACCTAATATGTAGGCAATGTATTTTTTTCTTTTGAGTCTTAAAATTGCTTCCAGTTTCTCTTACCTCTCTAATTTTCCCCAGGAAATATAATAAAACAATTATAGTTTTTGTTTTTGTTCTATCACAACATGAAGAGCATTTGGCTGAGAACCATAAGTATCCAGTCATGCTGCAAAGTACTGTCCCCATTCCCACCTTAGAACTTTCCGTTCCCTATGAAAGAATGCTCTGGAACACTTCATTTCAGTTCAGGAACTAAATGGAGAATCATAAATCCGTTTGAGACTTAAGAGACCTATGAGAGTTAAATCTGACTGTCCATTTACTGTAGCCACACAGAAGGCTCTCTGAGGGGTAACTTCCTGTGCCAGTTGCTCTATCTCCTTGGTCCCATCAGTAGCTTGGTTATCCCATTCAGAATAGCTTTTCACCCTCAGCCTCAGCTTTGTTTTGTATTACCCACTTAAGCCTGCTAGCAATTTGCTTCAGTAATCACAAAGGTTTCTTCATCATTTTTGTCTTTTACTTACGTTCGAAAATAAGTAACATTTTGCTCCAGTGCATATATATGCACTGGAATTTCCACTATTGTGATGAAGATTTCCATTATTGGTGAATTTTATAAATGTTTAAATCCAGCACCTACACAACCGACACCTGTTGACAGTTCCCTCATGACAAAAATTCATAGTATCAGTTGTCTATGGTGCACAGAGATGGAGACAGGGCCCTGTAAGTGAAGGCTGAGGAATTTACAAGGAGTTTACTGTGTGGTATTCGTCAGTTAGGATGTGATGATGCTGTCTGACCTGCTTTTGTGCCAAGTGGTTGAATTAGTGAGACTGAGATCAACTGAAGCTTATCTTAGAGTGGTCCCCAAAGAAAGAATAAAGAATGATAACTAAATATTGCAGGGCCCTAGTCTTTATTGATAGAGAAGATGGCGCCTACAGCTAGAGTGCCTAGCCACACAATCAAAAGGAATTGGCAATAAGAGAAAGTCACATTATGTTGAAACAAAATGGAGAATTTCAAACAAAGTTGCTAAAATCAAGTTTCTTCCCTTCCTCACTTCACATTTTGTAAATCAAATGCAACTGCTATTCTAGGAACAAAATACTAGGAATATAAAAATCGGAAATATATTGTGAATAAAGGCTGGTTTGACTGTTGTGTTACTCTGAATTGAAAATAGCATTGACATGACTTTTGACATGCTAACCTTTATTCAGTAGATGGCCAATCAGGTTTAGGCTTCTGGAAGTAAGCCATGCCCAAAGCGTAACAATGCCTCTTTGATGGATTTGCAATTAAATGCTGCCATTCCTCTTCTCTAACTTCATCTGACTCTTGATAACTGGCAGAATCTGAGAGGCTAGGGTGTAGAGTCATATGAAAATAAAGTGTCAACAAACTCCAGCAAAGCATCAAGAATTAGACATGAGATGTTTTTCCAAGACTGCTTTTTATTAAGACAGAGGAACTCTGAGGGAAAATCATGCTGTTAATGATTAGATATTAAGGTGTTCCCTAGAAGCTAAAGAAATTTTCATGCAGGTTTTTGTTTGTTTGTTAGAACAGTCCTTTGTTTATTTGTGATTTTCAGGTGGATGCATAAACATGTACAAAAAAAGAAGCTACTTATAACCCTGCCACAAGGCAGCCATACTCTGTGCTAGGTTCACTTATACTTTTCCTGCCTTGGAAAGTAGCTAAAGCATTTCAAGCCTGACGTAAAGTCTTAGGGGTTGTGTGCTCATTTTCAAGCTCAATTTCTGTAAGAAGCAAAATTCTGTATTCTCAGTCCTTTTTGATAAGCACAAGAAACTATATCATAACTTTTTTCCTGTTTTTTTTTTTTTAAATCTTAGGGTATAATATTTACTGATGGCAGTGCTTCCGTGGCAATTACAAAGTGGGAGAAAAGTCGTTTAAGATTTTACTCTTGTGAATGGGAGGCATCTTTTAAACTTATTGTTAATGGATGGAGGTTCCTTCCTTCATTCTTCCACTAATCTGTTTTTAACTAATGGTATAAACTGAATGTGGACAGATATAAGCTGATTGCCATCCTAAGAGCTGAGAAGATAAGGTTAGAGCCCTCCGATTTGATCTCCTGAGGCCATTACCAGACAGCGTGGTAAATGTTAGCTTGAAAATGCCTCCCATCTACACTCAAGTCCAAAGAGGTATTATTTGTGACAATGTGATTAGCTGAAGTATATGTGTGGTTTGAAAAATACCAAGTGTAGGAATAATGTCTTAGTGATAAATAGTTCTTAAGGAAAGATACAGACTCTGGAGGTTCAGATCTGATGGATCAGGAAGTACTGTTGGGGACATTTGTTTTCCTTGGGACGATTTCTTTTTTTCTGTTCATCTCTGTCCTTCCAGTAGCAGCTTCCTTGGCCTCATTTTCATTATAAGTGAATGTCAGCTTTAATCGTTTACCACTTCTGATGACAACCAGTTGGTGACATACCAGTCACCAACTGAAACTTGGCTTTCTTCTAAGTTCGGATGTTCAAGAAACTGAATTTTAATGTTTGGGTGAAATCAGTAACCCTTATCTAATCCCTCATTTCATGGCCCAGTACCCCTCCCTTATCCAGGAATAGCTGTTATTGGAGGGAGCACAAGGTGTGGCAGGAGGTGTGAAGAAGAGGGGAGGGTGTTGGGAGTAGTGGCAAATTTTCCTTGTCTTATTGGTTGAAAGAAAACACCCTTGAAGAGAATGGTATCTCTAAACTGCAACCTAAGCGACAACTTGTGGTTAGCAACATATCTACGTGAGAGTAGACACCAAAATAAGCCAAGGAAACTATAGGATAAAGGCTTAGTTCAGTATGATTGGAGGATGAATGTTCACAAAGTTATTTCTAGACATCTGCCAGGAAATGATCTGGAGAAATGGTCAAGAATCTGAAAGGAAGAGTCTGAGATCGCATTATAGGGAGCTGGGAATTCTTCCAGACAGCAGTGAAGGAAAGGTTAATTTGATCTTGGAGGACTTAAACAAGGAGTGATGCACTTGAGGAAGGAACTGAAGGCATCAGAATGAGGTTGGATTATGTTATATTGGGTCAGGTAAGACGTATAAGAGTTTGTTATCTTGATGGTCCTTACCAAAGAAGTCTTTGACTGTAGCGATGAGCGATGATGAGGCCCAATGGAGAGGAGGATTTGGGATTCAATGCATGAGAGAGAGTGAGATCAAAAAAGGGAAGTCAAGTCTCAGGCTGAGATGAGGAATGGTTGTCTGATTTACTAATATAAGAGAAGATGATGAAGGGTGCTGAAAGAAGATGTTGTTAGCCAAACATTTGTCTCAGATGAAAACACATCTTTTAGCAACAATTAATCACCCATGACATAAATAAGTTATGGAAGATATTCTGAAGCATTCATCATGCAAAAGTGCAGTCAAGAGGTGACTTTATTTTGAGGGAAAAAGTTTTGAAATCTATATATTTCTAAAACATTTTCCATGAAGTTTCTGAAGATCCCTTATAGAAGTACGAAAAAAGAGAGACAATTTAAAATACTACGTATTGAGCATAAATTATTCTCATTAAATAAGAGGAGAAAAAGTATGGCTCATGTTTTAGACATCTCATTTTTGTCCCAAATGTGGTAAAATATCCTGAAACACAGAGTGTCTCTGAGAATTTTCTTTCAGTTCTTTCTGCTTATCAGTAATACCTAGTTGAGCCAAGAATAGATCTGAATTTTAAGCTCTGGTGTCTTGCCAAGTCCTGATATTTGGCGCTCATTCTGTGTTTAGTACAGTATTTCATACCAAATTTTGGAAAGAAACAGGGGACCGTTGTGTTCATATTTGTGCTTATTAATGATGCCATACAATACACACAACAATGAGACAGTGACCAAAATGGACTCTATATCTTTTGACAGTGCCTGAAAAAAAAATGACCCTTGTTTTATCTTGTGCTGAAGTGAAGTGGTTATTAAAATAGTAGACTCGCTGATGACAGGCTAAAGTGGCACTTTCTCTTGTGAAGGTGGTTAATGTTGTTATCGGAGAGATCCAAGAAGGTAGAAAGGTGATTTTAGAGTCATAGCTTCAAGGCCATGATGGCAAACCTCCTTCAGCTTACATATGATGGTTTTGCTTGTCACACCATGATTTGAGAATGGAACTACTTCTTTTGCATACTGTGAAATCACTAATTTGATATTAAGACATGGACGCATGGACACACACAGAATTAAATATAGGATGCTTGAAAATCTTTGGCATCCAGAGAACCTCTGTCAGGTAGGTAAGGTTGTTAGGTAGCACATTTGTTCTTCATTCAGTCCGTATCCACACACTTGTCTTGACCTTCAGCCCCATGGAAGTCCATGAGTTCTTAGGGAGCTCGTGACACCTGTGGCAA